CACACACACCGTCCCCTTGTTTTCATTGGCTTCTGAAGGAAACACATCAAATACACAGGACTCCACACATTCCCCAGGTGAGAATCCCCTTCCCACCGAGTCATCAGAGTTCGTTGAACACCAACCTCAAACCAACCGACAGAAAAACCGACACACCGACGCAACAACACCGGGACACCGACGACATGCAAGTGCCCCCCCAACACAATTGCCTATCCCATACACTCCATGGGACTGCCATCTATGCCAATCAATTGGCCCCTCAAACCACCCCAACTGATCGGCAGTCCTATGACAGTCCCATGTGTCGCGTCTGGGTATTAGACTGCCGATCGCTACTGATGAGCTGGCCCCACACCCTGACGCGCGTCGGAGTGGTCGTCCGTGTCAAGCTTTTGGCAGTCAAACAGAACGCTTTCGATTGAGAAGTAATGAAGACTGAGAACACGTGTTTAAGAAGCAATGGATCTGAGATGAGAACATGGTCCAGTCCATGGCTATATAGTAAGTGGAATAACTATAAGACTTGGATATACTTGGAATAGATCTGCAGTGAGAAAAGCACGGCTGACTTCTCTCTTCACAGCGAGGAGTCGAGGAGTCGATGGTCCGCGAGCGGAGAACTTGCTTCTCGTCGTTGAAGACATCTGGTTATAAACATATCAACAGATGTACCCATACAGGACGTACCTGTTGAAAACATATCACTGTAGGGTATGTCTTCAATGTTGAAGACATCTGTAGGACGTTGAAGACATTGGTAAAAACATCCTGAAGACATACCCTACAGTGTCCTACAGGTCCAGCCTGACCTAGTAAAACCTAGTCCTGAAAATGATCAACTTGAGTAGGGCTTTGTGTGATTAACTTCAGTCAATCAGGTCCACATTTTTCATGTAACTAACACATGGAGGCATTCTGGTACCTGAAACACATCCAGTCAAACTATCTAAATTGTATGTCCCTAGGGCTCCAACCATATCCTCAGAAGGTGGTTAGACCCCCCTGGCATCCACCCCAACCACGCTCTCAGGAGCTGGTTGGAGCCCTAGGGTGTATAAACCAGAGCCTGAAAAAAATGTCGATGTCTTCTTTTCCGTCCCGTGGAAACATATGACGCACATATGACGAAGTTATTCAGTTCGATAGAACACATGACACCGACGCAGGAGTTACCAAAAGAACAACACAGAAGTAACACAAATCGGCACCAAAACTGTTTGTTGTGTCGTTTGTTTGAGTTTCGCCTGAAATGGTTCCCCAGAAAAAACACAGACATCTTTTGCAGGGTCCAGTATACACACATGCTAAACAAATACTGTCCCCATGAGTTGCCGGGCTCGGGGAGAGCTTCCAAAACACCGACCACAACGCTGCCACGATGCTGGCTGAATTCTTATAAACCGACCAAAGGGACCATGTCTGTCCTCTGAACAAATGACACGGAAGGCAACATCTCTACTGAGTAAGCAGCCTGCTGATTTCGATTTCTGTTGACTGATATGAGGATGGGCAAAATCTGGAGCCCTGGTCCATCTATGGACCTAGCAGGTCAGGTCAACCCCAAAGTATCTCTCCTGCTGCTTGATTCATTGATTGATCGATAATTTATGATCATTTCACTTTCGAAAAAGAGACTTCCTATGACTTCCTTCACCAAAACGACGGGTGAAGGCCTCCCCTCGCGAACCATCGTGTGCGCCAAAAAACTCGTCCAGTCGTCGTCTGGTTCCCAGACGAGACTGCGAGCTGAGTGTGGGGGCGCCAGCCACTGCATGAACATCGACCGAGTGCAGCGTCTTGGTTTTTGGAGTCATTGGAAATATATTGGCCGCTGGTACAATCTTCTTAAGCATTTAATAGATTATCCCTTCAAATCAAAATTATTGCATGTCAAATCCCAGTTGTTCACAGTTCTCATTGAACAATCACCAGAATCATGGAGCATATCTGATGAAAAGCCAGTGTTGCGATGAATGATGCTGCTTCGAAAGGACCTGACTTGACCAACAATCATGCTCTGCCATGCTCTTCTAGCCCAAACATACACTTTGATTACTAAATGGTTTAACATGTGTATATTTAATTTATGGTTGTGTTTTTTCTTTTGAAGGCCAATGCCAAAGCTGACGCCCGCCCCGCCCCATCGTTTGATGCGGCGATGTCTCGGCGGTGAACCGGTCGTCCGCCACGGTGCGCCAAGCCCGCGCCGCGAAGTGCAGGCGCTCGGAACGGCATTGGTCCGTACAGCTTCGCACGCACCGGTGGTCTCCCGACTGGCAAGGTGCAGTGATGTCCGTCACTTGGGGAAGGTCCGGAACGAGGGAAGAAGGTGCCAAGAATTGGTGGTACATGAGTATGATAGGGGTATGCTCTCTATCTATGGCATGTTTTCGTGGCGAATCGCTGCATGTGCCGAAAACGTCACATTATGGTCTGGGAGCTGGATTTTTGGTGTGGACCTGCCAGTCGCGAGAGGCAGGTCGAGTTTGACCTAAAGAATTAGAACCTCCAAGTGTTTAAACTTCGGAAGTTCTTTTCGTGCCTGAATCAAGGAATTCATTTAGCGCATTTAGCACTATGATGCGATTGGTCCGCAATGGAAAGTGCTTCCAATTTGAAACCCTATACCTGTATATACCTGTTATGTAAGAAACGCCATCAAAGACTCAAATCAGCATTAAATACACCCAGTGACGGGCAGTGGCTTGTGGATCCCAGTTTGCAAAGAGCTCGAACCCAAAGCTTCCACGAAGCTCCAGTGGTGGACTCTGCCCAAAAGTCCAGCGTCTGGACTGCCCCTTTGGGTGGCCTATGTTCTTCAACTTGCTTGTTTGGAACCAGGACAGAATCAAGCATTTATTCTCCATGCCAGGGGAAAATAACCATCACCCATCATCACCCTAAGCAAAACCTGGGCGACTGCCCAGCAAGGCGGCTGCCTGTCTTTTCTTGGCAAAGGCTTCCACGATGGATGCCCCCAAGAAATCGGCGACCCCCGGCATCACGCTACAGCGACCTCTGGAAGATGACTCCGTGGCACTTCCCGCCTTTGGGTCCACGCCCTAGGTCAGATGATGATGGGGCCTGGTTGCGGGCCTTCCATCTCTAAAATAGTGCTGCAAGAAGGGCCCTTCTGTATGGGTTTAGTGAAAGTATGGAGACACCCCAGGCAACGACCGGAAGGAGTTTGCTGGGTTTACTGGGATAGACTGGAAAGGTGTGGGAAAAAATGGGGACATGAACTAGAAGTGGGTCTGGTGGAGGGTCGCCTGCCGGACGTAGACCCATGACCAGCCTGGGGAAATTGGGAAAAAGTCCACTGGGATGCTTGGAAAAAGGAACATGAAGGAAGGCCCCCCACTCCGCATACCGAGTCAACCAGCTTTGCGTTTCAACAACCACTCCAGAGTCGTCCCACCCGGCGGATCAGGTTGTTTTTCTCCCAAGCCATAGAACACATCATCGCGGTGGAACACACTCCTGTCGCGGTGCTTCTTCTCCACCCGACTACTGAAGGTCACAGCCTTTTCTGCGACTAGTTCAGATGATCGAAGAAGTCATTCCGGTCGACCACTGTTGACCACTGAACAACACGGTGGCGAGCGCCGCACCCAAAAACGCCTGTGTACGCTGACATCTGTGGGGGCAGGGGAGTGTGTGCAGGCGTGGTCCATCTCAAAGTTTGCAGCTTCATGGGTGGGTTTCAAAAGAAAGATGGACCACGCTGCAGCCCTACCAAAAAGGCTTCACGATTCGCTTCCTGGTCCAAACTTCTTAAGTCAATCAGTGCAGGTCACTGCAGGTGTTCTCTCTGTGTTCCTTGATTCATCCCGAGCTCCGTAGAACCGCCCGCCGGCCCCACGAGCGCCCTTCGTGTGAAATCGTCGGTCAGCCGCCAGTCGAGCGGCGCAGTGTGTGACCGGTGGAAACTCAGCGGGTTGAAAATGGCCCAACTCGTTGGGGTGACGGGAGGCTAAAAGTTGTGTGCTCACACTAGTCGCGATGCCCTTAGTTCCTAGTATAGCTTCTTGTTAGTAACTATGGCCTCCAACCGACTTGCGATGGCCTCCACCCAGTAGCGTCCGAGTAGCGTCCTAGTAGCGTCTAGAAGGTGGATCTGTGGGACCGGAGGTGGGAGAGTCTCAATAGCGATGCTCTACGACGCCAGGTGCGAGACATGTTCTTTCATGCTCTTCTTTTTTCAAGACTGTTGTACTGCCACCGGGAGGAATCGGATCCTATTTGAAACATCGCCTTGAACTTCAGTCGACCGTATTTTTCAAGTGCTTGGATTCTTTTCCCAGACACGACCTGTCTGGGACTGCCAGTCAGGACTGCCAAACAATTGACCCCCCCTGGCACCACCCCTGGCGTTTTCTCGGCAGTCCGGACTGGCAGTCCTAGACAGGTCGTGTTTGGGTTTGGGTCCAGGAGGCAGGCTTCGATCTTTCCCCACCCCCGGGAACCGTAGAGTTTCACCACGGAACTACCAGGTACCAGTACCTCGATCGAGCTGTACCTGGCGGCCTCGAGCTGGGGGGATCGAAGTAAGGCCGAAACCATGCAGATCGTTCGTGATCTTTCTGTAGAACTCCCCCCCCCCGCGTGGATTGTAACACCTTAAGGGGGCTCTATTAATATGCATCAACTGTCTATAAGCATTGCGGTAGGGATTTTCATTTGAATGGGGACTCCCCCAGCCAGACTGCCTGCCACCAGGAATGGATGACAATTACATGAATACTGGAGTTGGTCATGCAAAACCACTACCAGGACCTTCAAAGTGGTCACAGCCCGTCCCTAAAGAGGTCACTTACTGCAGAGACGTCACTCTATTCGGTCACGTACGGCTCAAGTCCAAGACCGGTGGTGGTCTTCAGGATCGACAGACTGGACCGACCGACAGGTCACTGTTCAGACGAAAAACCGGACCACCACATTCCTACGGCAGGGCATCCAAATGGATATCCAAATGTCGTCCACCCGGGCGATGCTATGGATTTCATGACATGGACTTGCGGTTCCCACCCGCCGACGACCGACGGGGCGCCGCCGGCGCCGTTGTCCGGGGCCGGGCCGGGTCAGGAAATGGTACAGCAACCTGGGAGATGCGATTTGACAGGATTTGATGGGATGGTGATTCCCAACCCAAACGCGACCTGTCTGGGACTGCCAGTCCAGACTGCCGAGAAAACGCCAGGGGTGGTGGTATTGGGGGTGTCAATGTAGGCATATATATATGGCATACATGGAGCGTCTGGGTAAGCGTGTCCTAACATCATCGAAAAAAACATCACCCAAATGGACGACGTGAACTTGACAGCAGCTACGAGCTAGGTCCTGGACCGCTCGCAAATAGAAAGAACAATTCTGGGAGACAGGACTTACTTTTCTATCTAGTGTGTGGTTATGGACATTGTCCAGCTCTGGATATATGGCCGGTCATGCCAGTACTCCCGTAAGAGCTGGGTGGCGCTGTGCTCAACATGAGCGCTGTCAACCGGTGGGGGACGTGACGGTCAAACGGCCAGAGGACTGATATGCCCGAAAACCTTTGATCACCCAGGACCTTCAAAGGGAACATCTACAGGAAACCATTTGTTTTCACCTCCCCCGCAGATTCTGATGGGTTTCCTGTAGATGTTGCCTTAAACCAACTCAGGGATCAATGGATCATTTCGTACATTAACTACAAGTCCCAGGACCTTCAGTACGTGACCTCTTTGGAGCCTCTGTTTGTGACCTCTTTGGAGTCTCTGTTTGTGACCTTATTCTAGGATCTCCTTCGTTTGGTCACTTTGAAGGTCCACCCAGATGTCTTGCAAGAAGGCTACAAGCCTTTGTGAAACTGAGCCACGCCATGCTTGCCAGAACGTCTGCAGGATTTAGGGCCCAAAACCAATCACTCCATGGAATTTTCTGGAGTTATGAACAGTCAGTATTTAACGTGTTCGAACATCATGTGGGGGCCGCATACAAGCCCTGTATCAATTCGCTACGTGATCGTTTTTGTTGGTGCTCTTCTCGTTTTGCAAGGTTGTGGAGCGCACACAGGAGAGTTTGTTTTTCAGCTGGTCGATGAGCTTGATGAAGCAGTCGAAGAAGAACTCGACAAGGTATCTTCCCACTTCTGTCCCTTCAATACTTGCAATCTCTTCTGATTTGTACTTTGTATTTTGCTGCTTTTCTTGCTCGTGATATGGCATTGTCGTGAACAGTTTTGACCGGTTTGAATAAGTTCGATGCTTTGTGTTTACGAAACTTCTGGCATAAAACATCATAAAACTGTTTCAAACACCCGGATCCGGAGGTTCAACATCGAACTGGCCAGCGCAAAAGCACCCCAAAATGGAAGTGGGTCCAAACCCGGAAGCCTGTTTCACCCTGGTAGGTGGACCTCCGGTACTCTATCCTTCTGTGGTCAACCAGAGTTTCCCCTGTTACCCACAGCCAAACCAGACTTCGGGGTCACCCCGGCCACAACCCCAAAGCTTCACCAGCGAACGACCGGAGCTGGTCGTATCTCGCATCGATCTCGTTGCTTCTCATGATCACTTTCAGACGGAAGGAACGGGGGGGCTCTCCCAAAAGGAAAAACCATGGAACTAAAATACATTCACCATCATTCACCTTTGAACAACCAAAAAAACGCCACCGCAGTTCACATGCCCTGTGGAACGCCTTAACCAACAACACAGCTTCTCCGGGCACATCTCTTTCATGTTCGAACTGAACTCGTTTTGGGGGCACCGAGTGCACCACCGTTCCATCGTCGACTCCACGAAGACGCCGACTCCCCGCTCGAAGCGCTCCAAGGAGCCGCTGCTGCTTTTCACTTCGATCTGATCGTCCGGCTGAACGACGTCCTCTTTGATCTCCAACGGCTCCAAGGAGCCTCCGGCCGCGGCGAGAAGCAAAAGGCGAGACGAGACGGGCGAGGCGGCGAGACGAAACGAGGCGGCGCAGGATGCACCAGGAGACCTCGGCGTTGGACCCTGTTTGGGGTGATTCATCGACACCTACCACTCATTTGGGACCCCGGAAAATGTCTCCTGGTAGTAAGACGAACCCCCAGAAACACCAGGTTTGCTTCACCATTGACCATGAAAAGAGCAGTCCCCAAGCCAACTGGTTGGGCTTGGTAAGGATTGTCCCAAGTGTCCCCTTCAAGTCAATATGATTCAATAATATTCAATATGTGTTGGCTTGTCACTTGGAGGTGTACTAGAATTGTCATCCATCCTGGCACCCTTTATTTTGGTCCAACGTGTATGTGTTTTGGGGCCCCAAAGACGGTCGAACTCACGAGCTGATCTGATTCGTCGGAAGGAAGAACTTGATTCATGGAGAGCACCCCTTCCACACGCACGTGCGATCTGGATCAGACCCGCGCCTAAGCTTCCTTTCAGAAACCTCAGGATGGTGCGACTGGAGAATGACGGTCAACAGTCTTTTCAGAGCAAATCCAGCTGAGCCACTCTTGATCCAAATCTCCATCGTTTTTGTTGGCATGTTTCGTTTGTCCAAGGCTTTGTCACCGGGAAGTCACTCCGAGTCATGCCACTCCATGCGATGAATGAGGAGTACTGAGTACTGTGGGATCTGGAAGCTCCATGTATGCTCCATCTGTGCGCCTGGTTCCCTTCCCCTTTGGTTGAGGTGGCGTTTGGCTCTGATGTATCTTTTCACGAGCACCTCCCCCAAAGCAGGCGCAGCTCGGGCACGGCCATGGGATGACTTGCAGGGGCAGTTCCTTCCCCCTAATGTTGACTGTTAACATATCCCATACACTCCATGTATGCCATATATGCCTACATTGACCCCTCAAACCACCCCAACTGATCGGCATATATACCAGTCCCATGGAGCGTTTGGGTATGAATCACCTCCAGCTATAACTGCAGTGGCTGTCAGACATGTCCAGACCTGGCGGAGATGAACCTCACCCAAACACGTACCCGGTCTCGATCAGTTGGGGTCAGGACCTGGGGTGGTGGACCTGGGGGAAAGAAGGGGCGGCATCGAGACTGACGTCCCATGGAGTGTTTGGGTCATCACCTGCCGCAGCTTTCCCCCATTCACCTGAAAGCGCCCAAGCGGCTGAAAGCCATGGTCCTCCTGTGGGCCAATCTCTTGTCGAAGATCGCTGAACAACTTCCTCACCGGTGGTCGCGGCGAAGGTCTTCGAAACACTCCACCTAATACTCACCTACTTAAGATGGCCTCCACCGAGCATAGCGTCCTTGTTACACATGACACGTTTGGTGGATTTTGGACGATGAACATGGAGGACTGAAGCTCGAAGGACATGACCCACATCCATTCTTGGTCCCCTATAAAGCTTGGATAAGTTCTTATAAGCAATCCCTGCTAGCACAACTGAAATGCTCATGACCCCAACACAGCACCCAACACAAGCTCATACAGCTTCCACCCCACAGCTCGCCGTGCAAACCGCGGCCCGCACGCGCACACATGTGCGAACCGCTCTCCCGCGCACATGCGTGCAAACCGCGGTGAACTCTCCTGAGGGCGTTGTAGTCTGGTCGGTCGGTGAACTGTAGAGCTCGGGCCTTCACCAAATAAACCCGGAAGGCCTCAAGGCCACCGAACAGAAGCTCGGTACGTTGCCGCAGCGAGCGAGCTCTCGCTGAAACGCACCGCTTGTGGTTGTGTGGCGCGCGGTTTTGTGAATGCTCGGGATTTCCCCAGATGAAAAAGGCATCCTTGTTAAAATAAAGGGGGAGAGGTTGGGGCGAACAGTTTGTAAGGGGACCAGGTTTGGATTCTACAAAAAGCTGTGACCCAAGCTGCTTTGCCATCTGCAAAATGGCATGTACCAGAGCGGTTTTGTACAAAATGATGATGCCTCAAGATTACGCAACTATCTTATGCTTACAAGGGCATAGCCAGCCATACAGCAAAGGGATTTCTCTACAAAAATGGGGTTCTGTAGGTGCCAAAAACTGCATCGTTACAAAATGGCCCCTCTGTAAGGGCCTCAAGCTCTCCCTTTGTGTAGAGGAAATTTCAACGGGGATAAAAAGGCAATGGTTTGTGGAAATCCTCGACAAACATCGACAAACGAAGGAATTTCCCACTTCCAGGGAAGCTTTTGGTGATCGACCAAAAGCTAATGTCAATGGCATGTCAAGTCTACAGCGACGATGAACTCCAGGCTTCCGGCCGTGGGGATTAGATGGAGAAACACTCAATGCTTTCATGGAAGGCTAGGATATGTGGCGCAAGTCAAGATTTCGTGTCTCTTTTTCAAACCCCGCTCAGTGTCCTGGCAAAGAATAGAAGGTTTAACATGTTTTTCCACCTGTGGGAAGTTCGTGTGGAAACCAGTGCCCTAGAAAAGTTTTGCAGACTTTTGGAGGTTATCCACTTTTCCTGGGTCGCCTTTTTCAATCCAGAGTTGTTGAGCAGCCAGTTTGGTGTGAAACGCCCCGCCCCTCAAAGGACCATCAGGCTGAACCATCGTTCAAGTGGTTAGGTCATCCTCTTATACAGCAATCCATTTAGGTCACAGGACCTGGACATCCAAACCAAAACGGGTAATTATATCACTTTCACAGGGGCTTGCACCTACCTGGAAGCTCCTGTTTCTACATCAGTGGACCACAGGGGCTGACACCTCTAGATGTTGAGCCCATCCCCATATGGATCATCCTTCCTTGATCATCCTTTATGGTGCTCCGACCCAACCCCACCAGTCTCCAGTCGGTTCGGTACACGCTGTAACCGTCCGTCCAAGCGGCATCAGGAAAGTCGGCGCAGAGCTCTTCAAGAGGTGTTTGCTCCTGCGTGGAACACGCACCACCACCACCACCACCCCAGAGACGGCCCAGAGACGGTGACCTGCAATCCGTTTTCTGGGTCATTGCAGGTCACCGCATGCCACCCTTCCTGGGTTGTAGGTCGATGCCACTGGGCTAGACAACACCTTCTTGTTGCTGAGCTTCCAACACACAACTCGCGGGTCGCCACATCCCTCAAAGCCCCTTCCACATTGTGACGGGTGCCCGAGAGAGAAACTAAGGGGACACGAAGCATACCCAGACATGACTCATGGAACTGGCCTATTTACCATACTATCTATACATTGACCCCAGGTCAACCACTCCCACTGATCGGCGGTCCTATACCAGTCCCAACAACCAGGTTGTGTCTGGGAGTCCTAACCCCAACCCATCACCCCTAGGGATCCAAGTAACTTCTCAGAAGGTACGACTGGACCCTCCAAACCTACATAACAGTGTCTCCAATCACCTTTCGCCCTTTCCACTCCTTCTTCTCCCGAATCTTCCGGTATTTCTCTTCCTGCCGAACCGAGGCGCCGCCAAGAAGAGACGGCGCGAGACGAGACGCGACACGACACGCGCGGGGTGTGAACTCCCTGGCTTCGGTGAGCTCCTATTTCATGCACTACTGTGCGACCCAACGGAAGCTCCGCTGAGCCATAGTGGCCAGAAACAAATACCTTGGGTTGGTGGGTTTGTCGTTTAAACCTTTAAACCCTCCCAGCAATGGGTTCATGGATGGTAGAAGCCTCTCCTCCTGCAAGCACTGCTCGGTTGCTGTAGGGGCAAGGGGAAGTGTGAAGCTCCCTACTACTCCCTACTACTCCTGTTGGATCTGACAATCGATTCGCCGTCCCGAATGGAATTTTCCAATCCGTCGTCCGTCGTCCGTCGATGTGTGACGAAGAACTCTCATGATCTACAGTATCATTATCAGTCAACATTCTCCGAGAAGGTGGGACTGGGGGGTCAGTGCCAGGCTGATCCGACCCGACCTGGGGAGGAACGACTGGAGCGTACTAAACCGAAACACGACCTGCTCTGGCGCCTATTGAACCACCATTGATCCCTCTTCAACCTCCCCAACTCATTCGCCGCACTGGCCCGAGACGTTCGACGGACGTCTGGAAATCGATCGCACCCGAGGTGCGGATCGAGAGAAGCACGCCGAGAGAACACCACGACGTCCAGTGAAGCGATCTTCGTGACATTGTTCTGGAGGCACAACACTTAAGCTTGGATTTAGCTCTCCAAGAACTGGTAAACAAAGGAACTGATGTCCCAGGATATTCACAATGATGGGAAGATAGAAGTCAATAGAAGTCACCCCAAGCAAAAGCAAGATCAGATCAATGCCTTTGTTGCGGTCCCCAATTTCCGAGTGACTCCTTCAGAATTTCCAATCTGTTTGGTTTTAAGCAGGGAAACCCATCCCAAAAGTCGAAGCTTATCCATGGGTTATCCATTTTTATATGGGAAACTGGTCCAAACATGGGTTATCCATTTATGGGAAACCAATCCATGGACTTTTCCTAGATAGGTCTCAGTTTCCATCTACTCAGTGAGCGAGCTCACCGCGCCCGATTCAGTTCACTCGCCAAAAAGGCCTGTGTCTTGGCTTGCAGCCCAGACCAAGGCAATGTGCCTCTTAAGAAGCACCTCGAGGTCTGCTGATTCAGGTGAGAGGTGGAACTGGTGTGAGAAGGTGCCTGATTCAGGTCCTTTAGGGATTGGAACCCACCAAGAATTCAAACGATTCTTGTTGAACTGTTACAGCATGGGGCAGGGATAATAAACAAGCGTAGTATCCCTGAGTTTTATTGGATAAGCCACTTTTTCTGCTGTGGCCGCTTTGTTCTTGTTGTGGATCTTGGATGTTGACCCTCAGTTCCAAGGACCAAAAGACATACCTCTGGCACCAAGGACCAAGAAATTGCGCAGGCCAAACCTGGTTTTTGAGATGCCCTGTGAAAAAGAAAGGTGGTTTTGAGAATCAGGAACCTCCGTTTGTTATGCAACACTTCAACTAGGCCAACTAGCCGCAGGTTGGTTTTGAGGTGATTCTGGAAGCAACGAAACCCCTCTCTTTTGCCCGGACCGCTTTGGAACCGTTTGCACGCGCGTGCACCGATCCGCCGGATCCTCTGGGCCCAATAAGTGCTTTCTCTGCCGGAAAGGAAGTAGTTGCTCACCCAAACTGCTTAACTCCTGTCCCAGGACCTTCCTGGCCAGGTTGTTTGGAGATCCGACCACAGGTGGTGAACCTGGGCACCTGTTGTCACCAGGAAGCACCTGTTGGAGGGTGTTGGTATATATATATATATTTATCATTGCTTAACTGCTACCTCCAGCTGACCTGTTGTGTTGGACTTATACGTCTGTTTTTTTTGTAAGCTATGGTCTGCTCAACCAGAAGCTTTCATTGAAACTTGGTCTGGAGAACACCAAATCACTTGCACAATCTCCAACACGTTCGGTGGCACCATCTACCAACCCACCAAGCTGTGTACAGTTTGCTGCCTCCATCTCTTTCCATAGACAATGCTTATGGGTCCGGCTTAGTATGTGGGAATGACGTGGCAATGGCCTTTCTGCTAACGTAGATAACCAGCCGAATAGAACTACAGCTATGGTGAATCAAATTGAAGAACCACAATAAAACCAGAGCTGTAGGCTGTAGTAAACCTGGTTTATTTGGTTTCATATGGTTTCTTTCCACAATAAATTGAAGAACCTCGAAACTGGTCCAAACAACTCACAAGACGGCCAACGTTGCCCCCTCACAATGGCAAGCTTCGGAATGCCGAAGGAAACAGTACTAGATACACATCAGCCCGACCATGGAAAGGCAGTGTCTATGTATATCTTTGTTATTCTTTGTTGAAGGGAACATAGAGATAGTTGATCCTTTTTGGCTTTTCACTACCTAAATCAAAAGCACCAGTCAGGGTCAGTTCATTTGTGCTGTTTTGTGCTTAGATTGTTAACTATCATTGCCAATTGTAACACTGAACAACACCACCAGTTGTCCAAGATTGTCCAAGTGTCGCCATGGGTGTCCAATGGACTGCCCCACGGTTTTCAAAAAACCGTGAGCGACACACTGTGAGCTTTTTTGCGACTGGGCCGCATCAGCATGTGCCCAATCGCCTGAAGCGTTCGCCCAAGCACACCACCCAGCAGGGCGTTTGGCGTTCTTTGAGCTCCCGACGTCGAACAAAAACACCGGCGTTTCTCATGGAGGGAAGCAGAAACAGTGAAACCTTGTTTTCACCGCTGTTTTTGTTCACCATGTGAAAACCAATGCACATCTGAGCTCCTTGGGAAGTTTCACACCGAGGAACCTCGATTCCTTTGGGCCGACTGTTGCCGACCTTTGGGAAGAAAGATTTTGGACCAGGAGTCACGTTCGACGGGGTGGTGTGGCTCGTCCCATCCAGTGAGTGGATGTGACAGGGGCACCCCGACTACCTCCATGGATCGCACCCCTTTGTGACTGCTGGGAGATGTTTATATTGTTTTTTCACATTGAACAACCACATTGACTATCACTCTGAGGAACACATCACAATGGATTCCATGAACAAACCTGAACATGGACCTGTGGAAAACCCGTTTTTTTCCATCGTTTGCCTCGGCAAATCAGGGCTAGCCCACCACGACTCGTGGTGGCCTCGCTGGGGTTTTCTGTGGGAGTGTGGCCTCGAAGAACCGCGAACAACTCCGTTTCTCTTCACACAAACAATGCGAACCTGGATGATTGTTTGTTCAACAAATGGAAGTTCTGCATCGCATCACAGCAGTGGAACATAATTTTGCTTAAATGTGTGATTTGATGTGATTTGCAATGCCAAAGGCGGCAACTACAAAAAGGAGTTCAGCTGGTCAACAGCACACTGTTTTGAGGTTGCTGCTTAGCTGTTTCCAAAACATATGAAACCCAGGAATTCGTAGGACTTGTCTTGTCTGGATGGGGCACCCCAAAATAAACCTGTGGCCACAGACTCGCGCAACGACTTACCCAATCGATGCGGTTGACGCAATGTACCTGGTGGCGAATCTGGGATTTGCCGGTTCCTGGAACTGGGAAGAAACACAAAAACAACATTCCCATGTCAGATTCACCCATAACGTTGAAAGGGACAAAAATCCCAAGCACCCGAAAACCCAACAAAAGACCAAGCTAATGAAGCAATAAGCAAAACAACACCAAGCAAAACAGCAAAACCAAGCTAATGAAGCACTATAGCAAAAACAAAACCAAGCAACACGGTGCAAGTCTCGCTCGATCGAGCCTCCAAATCATCACGTCGAGACTGTTCGATACCTGGCCGAATGGGCCCGGTCGAACGGTCGAGCGGTCGGGAAATGTCTTCTTCAATGACGCGATTGGTGGTCCACAACCAGCATTTCGTACCTAGCCTACTTATTATCATCTGATATACAGTGCGCATGCTGCCGCATGCTAGCTATCATTCTGTATATTAATATATTCCTATTTGCCTCAACACAGACTATAGCCATTTCTCTTAAATGCTTCTGCTTTTGGCCTCAACACAGGCTCAACATTTCTCTTTAGTGTGCCAAAAGCCACCTATTCTCCTTGTCGAGACGTGCGAACCAAGGCTGTGCGCCTCGGTGTGCGTTGATGGAGGCATAGCGCGCCGTCCCAGTGAGGCTGAGGTTCGTCCTGGACGCGGTGCCGCGTGTTGGGAGACGGAGCCGGAATCGGTTGGCATGAGGGCCGCTAGGTGTTGGTTCGGTTTGTTCTCGTTGTGTGGGGCCGTAATACACTGGGTCTATCAGATGATTGAAAATAATTTATGTTTTTGTTGATAGGAATCACCATTTCTTATTGATAGGAATCAAAGTTCTTTTTGATAGCTGCTGCTGTTGGATTTCCTCTGTAATCATGAGCTATGAAAGGTGCCTGTGGGGATGCTGGGGGCAACCCACCCGGTTCCTCTTTCAGACCATTTCAGGCCAGGCTCAGGCCTATCATTTGAAAAACAAGTTTCCTGCCACCCCCCCGTCGAACAAATAGGAATTAAGACTAGACTAGCCCAACTTTTGAACAGGGCTGACCAGAACCTACCAAAAACGAGCAAAACCAACCAGCTTTAGAACCCAACACCGGTAGTGTGGATGTAGTGAGTGTGTGTGTATCTGTAGGGTGGAAAACCCAAGATTACGAAATCCTAATCTATAGAGTTTAGTTTTGGTTGCATATTTCTTATCCCTAGTGCCCCCTTTTAAGAACTATTCCAGACTCTACCCGAAAAAGCGGTTTTCTTAATACAAAGTTCGGCCGTGCAAATATCAATGCGCTGGCGAGAGCAATCTGAAGATTCAAGAGCAAGGGCACGCAAGGGCTTTCTGATTCTCAAACCAGACCAGGCGATGGTTTCTTCCCAACACTCTACCAAACTCTGATCCTCAAAGGCATCGTGTCGATTTGCTTCACCACTCAATGTCAAGTCATCTACGTATACGGACAACAACATCCTCTTGCCACTAAAGTGGAGTTGGAGCCCAAAAAGGTTTGTGTTTTGCTCTTAGGTCGGAGGCCATCGCAAGTAGGTTGGAGGCCATTGCCATTACAACTTTCTCAGAAAACGTTCTTCAAACAGTTGTTGTGTTTTGCATGTTTTTTGAACCCCGATTCGGGGTCTGGACCCAACATGTTCGTGTTTGGGTCACTTGACCCTCACAATCAGGGTTTTGCATCCAAGGAAAACATGTAGCAGGTCAAATGGGTTCTATAGGTATAAACTTCCTGAATCTGTTTGCACCAGACATGCGCCACCCTTAAGTTTTTCAATCATGAGGTAAATTTCAACGCAACAAAAACGGCGCCTTGAAGGCCTTGAAGGCAACTCTTTCAGCCTGAACGCAACCAACGCAACCACCGCAACTCCTCATGGCCGCATGGCGCCCCTCGTAGTACCTGTCATTCGTTCCCACGACGGGTTTGCTCGGTGCCCACGTGCCCATGGCCATTGTACTCGCGCGTGGACGGAAGCTCTGGCCGTCAGTCTCCTCTTTTGACCTTGTTTGGGGTGAAGGAGATTGTCCTTTTGTTCTTCGTGGATTTGAAAAATCCTTTTTGGCTCTAAGACATCCCTGTGCGTCTGCGTTCAGAACGGACCTCTGCGTCAAAACAGGAGAAATCAAGGGGTGCCCATTGGTGGTAAGGGGCGTCCATTAACCACCCTCACCCCTTAGTGTCCAAGCACAACCCTTTGGGGTCTCCTGGTATGCTGAAACTCTTCCTGGCAGACCTCACGTGCTCCCCCGAATCATCTTACGCACGTCCCGTGCTCCTCCGTGCTCCTTCGTGCTCCTCCGCGCTGCTTCGAACACTCAAACACACGTTTTCGGCGCCACGCCACATGACCTCGCCAGAACGTGTTTTGGAAAAACGGCCCACCACCCAGAACAAAGATCCGTGGGCACCGCTTGCTGAGGCCGAAGTCAATGAGATGGATCACATGGATGCGGTTCTTCACGCCAAACCTGAGTTTGTTTTGTGGTGAACACATGGACTTGCCAAGAGGTAACCAACATGTCCGATGGAAGAAATCTCCGTGTAATTCTTTGCCTATCTCTGTGGAAGCAATCACCAGTTCAACATGAACTGGTCGTAGATTGTGGACAGGTTGGTCGGACAGGTCGCAAAGCGAAGTCGGTCGGACCATGTCGGCACTGCATGGTTGAAAGAACAGAGTCCGGATCTGTTAAAGAGAATGATGAGACCAATACCAGGACATGGACACCCCTGACTCATGACTTGTTCCATCCAATAACCAACCCTTCCGTGGTGCTGGTAATCTGACAGGGTCGCTCCGCTAACGGCAAAGGATTGGATTGTCCTGCTATATAGCAAAGGGGTTGGGGAACTCCCCTGTAGCTCTGAAGGGCTCCATCGTTTTTCATGGGGAAGACATCTTGGAGACCCCGAGGACCTCGCGACCCGATCAGCGTCTCTCCCGATCGTCCCGGCTCGCACCAGCTAGCCACAAAAGAGGGAACATATATCAACGACCTGTGCGCATTGTGGAGAAGTAGTTGAACTTGACGTCCATGGCAGCAGAATTCTCGGGGCCCATATCTCAGGTGACAGCGTTATCGATTCAAATCAACATGTACATAGTCATTTATTGCAACATATATTCCCTATTATCCAATCCGTAGAACAGGTCAATGACCTCATGAAATACTCGAGTTGGTCATACAAGTTCACACTACTGAAGAAGGTTAATGACCAGGTTTTACTGAGTCAGACTGGACTTGTAGGGAATCACTTGGATTTCCTGTGAAAAAGACATCGACCTCTTTGACCTCTTCCTCAACTGATCTCCTGGTCTTCCCAGGCGCGCGAGCGAATCGCCCCCAACACCCGCCGAAGCGAAAGCACCGTGGGACCAAATCCGCCGAAACCGTCCACAGCGCACCCGGGGGTGTCTCGGTTTGGACCACCCTCTGAGGTGAAGTCCGCTTGGTCGGCTTGACCACCGATCAGGCCACGGTGTTTTAGAAAGCACCGAGGCCCAGGCGGAAGAAGGTGGTTTTGGTTTCGGGGTCGGTCGATGAAACTCATATGCCAGGCCCAGGCAGGTCGTGTTTGGGACATGTGTCGTTTCACCAATCGGCCAGGGACCCGCCAGAAAAAAAGCTTGGACGGGCTGTCCAGGGACCCAGAAAAAAACCAGAAACACACACACACACCTGTCCAGGGCATGCAACAGAGACCCCAACAGCTGGGAAAAAGAGATCAAGGAAGGACTCACCCCGAAAGAATTCCCAAGCGAAACAACATCAAGCGGCATGAAGTTCTCGGGCTTGATATCTCGATGCAGGATGCCTGGCATTCGTGGATGCGCTGATACCGTGTGGTGGATCCGCAAACCGAGGAGCCAAAGACGCGTTGGGCTTCAGGAAGAGGATGAAACAAGGAAACATATATCAACACATCAGCCTGAAGTTCTGAAGCAAAACTACGCGAGTCTGCGGTCGGACCATGGGGGAGTGGAGAGGGCGTCCCGTGCTTTTAGGTGGGTTGGCCCTGAGATGAGCTCCAACTGGGCTCCTGGCCCATCTCCTCAGAAGGTGGGGTCTCACCTGCCTGGCACCCACCCCAAAAGGAGGCAGAACTGAACGCCAAAAGCGGTGGTACTGCGGTTCATGTTTCGTGGCCCACCGCTTGTTGACCTCACGCGTTGGTACTGCGTTGACCTGCAAACAGGCGACCCGACGGGGGAAGCCGAAGGTTCGAAGATGGAAGCGAATCACCCGGGGCAGGGGTGACCAAACACATCACCAAATCACAGGGCTGATCCTTGAGCATCCAAAATGTTGGGAAAACCATGGAAAACCCATCTCAACCCTTATACTTGAAGACCTATATGACCTATATATGTGGGAAGAGGGGACCTAAACGTCGATCAACCTGTTTTTGTCAAAGATCTCGATCACCTGCCACAAACTGGTCATCTTCAAGTCTTTATCCACTAGACAAAGCCAAACGAACAAAAATAACCAACCACCCATCATATCCCCTACAAATCACCACACCTGAAATCATTGAATGATCATGCCCCAACAAACCAATCCGCTTCCATCGCCCTTTAGAAATCAACACATGCCCACCACCCAACCACCCAACCACCCAACTCACCATGCTGCCACCACCTCCCGATCCCCAATTCTTTTTCCCCCTTCACCATGCCGGACCGCTACCCCACCACGGCATCCGCACGCCACCCGCGGATCACCGGAATCGACACCGAAACGATCCGCCGGCGCAGAGCCGACACCGAGCGCCGCCGCACTGGAACGGAGCCGCGTTCTCTTTCACGGCCTAAGGAGTGCAAATACTCGATGCGCCGGAGGCATTGATCTGCAATGAGCACCTCAGTGTGTGACGTCACGCGTCGAGACGAAAGCGAGAGACGGAGAAAGCGCGAGAGGACGCGAGAGACGGAGAGCGCAAGACGCGAGAGAGCGTAGGGTGGCTTGGTTTTGGGGGGATCCCAAAACAAGGACTTGAGATCTGGCTTTCGATGGTTTTGGGGCAGAGGATGGTTTTGGGTCATGTCCATTCGGAAGGCTGTCAGTAGCAGGACGGGAAAGCCAAGCAGGGCTTCGCGGATGGCGTTTCATATGTTTACCCAAGCACTCCATAGAATGGGACTGCCATACTGTATTTGCCGGGGTTCCAGTCCCATGGAGTGTCTGGGATATGTCAATATGTATATAGCATCGCATAGCATGAGACAGGGTTTAAAAAGTATGTTATATTTAAATTAATATGTTTGACCATCTTGAACTAGCGGTCTGGTGCCACTGCCTGTTGAGCACGGGCGGGAAACCCCGCCGCACGCACTGTTTTCACGCCGTTCCGTGAATGAAAAGCCGTGGATTTGATTGTTTGACCCAAACCCAAACACTCCATGTATGCCATATATGCCTACATTGACCCCCAAAACCACCCCAACGTAGGCATATATGGCAGTCCCATGAAGTGTTTGGGAAACCAAAGCAATGGATGCTTCTTCATGGCCGGTGTGAAGTCACGGGGACCATGGGTGGACCAGTGAACCAGCAGGGAAGAGCGTGAGCGTCGAGATGATGGCCGATCGTCGGTACGCTATTCACCTATCTCAAACGTGACCTGTCTGATGGGACTGGCATATAGTTTTAGTATGCCGCCCCCAGAAAAGACCCGATCGGTCAAGCAACCACCCCGTTTCTCGGCCGTTTCTCGGCAGTCCTATGGAAGTCCCAAACTGGTCGTGTCTCGGTCGTAGAGGGAGAAGTCTAATATCATCCTTAAGCTGAAACAAACATGGATAAAACAACATGGCAGAACTGCGGGAGGAGGACCGAGTCCACTGAAAGTCCTTGTAGGGTTGGCACAGGAGCTTTATGGAAGACCCTGTGGACCAAAACACTCTTGCCACACTATAGAGTCATATAACACATATAATTCGTGCATGTGAGGCTTCTTCTCCTCCAAAGCATTCAGGGGAGCTGAGTCCTCCAAGGCTCAGGGATTCTTTCTGGGCGGAGAAAACAAACATGCACCATGATTGTTTGGATATTTTGGGGTTTCCTTTTGGGGTTCCCATGGAATCATGTACGGTTTCTATGTTTTCTACTTGTCTTACTTGATGGGTCTTACAAACACATCAACACCTGCCTCTCCTTGAAAACAGCGCTCCTTTCGCCGCAGTCCTTTCGCAGTCTGAGGCACGCAGGTGGGGGCTGAGAACTTCCCACCGCAGCCCTGCAAACGATCCTCTAAGGAGAAGCCCAGCATCTCCTTAACAGACTTCGAACGGCGGCTACGGCGAGCTGGGCGAATCGGCGCAATGAATGGCGCCGGCCGAATGGCTCTTGGCTACGGCGCTTGGATCACTTGCGCATTCGTCAGGGACGTTAGTTTTTATTATAGACACTTTTGGACGGTTGGTGTTCCTATTTTCATGGGAAGCTCAGCTGTTACCTTTTTGGGATAGTAACGTCAGGGTCTAACTAACTTCATGATACAGATTGATGTCAGGGAACTTAAATGTTCTTCTTTCTTAAAATCCCTTTTTGGCCAGTTTTTTTTGGGTATTCTCAGCCTATCAGCCTATCATCATGTTATCTTTTCTGCACATATGCTGTTCACACAGACGTTAACACACATTAACACACGCGGCCCAGCCCAAGCCGAACTCTCCGAGTTGCCATGACGAGGCATGAGAACCTCCCCTCCACCGTGAACGCCAGAAGCTTTGCAAAGCCTGGCGACGGTTCCCTCGTCACACCCACTCGGCATTGGACCGGTGCCCAGACTGGAAGAGGATGGCTTCCGCTACAACACCAGGCGTGTTCTCTCGGGTCTCTAAGGGTGTCACCCCATCAAACCATTCGGAGGAGCGCAACCGTCGGGTGTAACACGTTGATTTTCAGAAAAAAAGAAACGTCAAAGACGAGAGACTCGCGCGAGTCATGGCTCGAGACGCGTGGATCCGGATCTCGGTCATTTGAGACCGATGAAAGGACACGGTCTGATGAAAGGATCGTGTGAGAAAGAAGATCAGATCTTAAAGGACACGCGTCTTTGATGTGGAAAGAACACTCCCAAACAGTCGTGGCATATGAAACCCGATCAGTTGGGGTGGTTGACCTGGGGTCAATGTATGATTCCTGTACCTGGACCTTCAAGGGGTGTCCAATGGAGGTCCCTTAGTGGTGTAGTGGCTTCCATTGGTGACCCCTTTGAAGGTGCTGGTAGGTAAATATGCACCGCATGGAGTGTCTGGGACTGTGGTGCAGATGGCGTAGGCGCGACTTCCGCGGTCGACCGGGGGGGTCGAACGACGCCCGGGGTCCGAGACCGGAAGATGAAGATGTGCCTTTGGAAGACGACTATACATTCCTCTACAACCCGACGTGGTGGGTTTTCAGGTTCCAATGTGGGTCTCGGAACGCCCGGGTGCTGTGCTTGTGCTTGTGAGTATTCTCCAGTTGATCTCACTTGGAGGGGTCAACTGGTTTCTCACCAATTCCAGCAGTTTTAACAAACCGAGGACAAAAGGGTGTCTAGAAAGCCCTTTTGAGTCGGCGGTGGAACCCTCTACTCGACTCACAGAATCTCATTCCTCCAACGTGCAGCGAAAAAGGTAAGAGATGTTTGAGCAGCTCACGAACACATCAGTTCCATCACTTTCCGATAGGTATATCCCAACCCCCCTGGAACAGTGGATGATGATGGTTAGTAATGACCTTACACAAAATAGTGATAACATGCGATGATCCTTTACCGACTGTACAGGTAGTGGGACACGCGTGAGATCATGGTACTTTTGGGTAATTAGAGGGGGTGACTTGATACCTTCTTCACTTCTTCATGTACATTGGGTTGGACACGACCAGGGGGTATCCCCCCTTTAATTGACCAACCCAGGGCTTAGGTCGTGCCATCTCTGGATCTGACTACGCTACCACAGATACGTCCGCGCTGTCGAACACTGAACTGCGACCGTCGACCCACCGCCTTGTGGACTGGTGTTTGCTAAGAGGCTGAGCACTTCCTGCGGACTTTTGCATGACGAAAAGCGAGCGAACAGGTCTGGTTGCCTTGAGCCCAACGTGAAGATATTTGTGGTGTGATTTGTGGTATGATGTGCCATGTGATAATATATCCTGGATCATCTTCCCAAGCCAGAAGAAGTTCTCTTACGCAGTGAAACTTGTCAGGTTCATCAGCTGTGCTTTGCTGTTGAAAAATAAACACTTTGTATATAGAACACAATAGATGCAGGTATACGGGTCTGTGGATGTTCTACGGTGAACCTGCAAACCGTCATCGAGTTGGAAGACGGACAAAGACGGTAAGGCCGGCACGAGAGTTGCCAAATGACACACCCACGAGAGTTGCTGTGTCGCACAAAACTGGAGCAACAGAAGTTGAAGAACCTTACCGCGGTACCCCACTAGGTACCCCATAGGTACCCCAGGTGACGGATCCTTTTTCAGGTCTATTGACCTCTCTTGGGAGCATCTTGCGCACTTTAGAAAGTGCAGGATTATTCTACCGGGCAACCTGCAGGATTACACCACTTTACACTCTACAAAGACACCACGCAAAATGCGGTGCTTCCACGGATATCCACGGATTATTTATTGGATGTGAGTGTCATCATGTTTTATCTACAGCAAGGTTGTTCTATCGAAGCAAACACCACGGCCTGAACGAGCACTTCACTTCTAGAACCCAGAAACTCGATGGAACTGCCATAGGACTGCCAATCAATTGACCCACCTGGCACCACCCCAACTGATCGGCATATATGGATGTGTTCAGCTTCCGCGGTCTCCCAATGCAAGTCATGTGTTCACTCAACGTCGATGCGTTCGGCCAGTCTTCGCGACCGGTTCAGGCCTACCCAGCTGACGTCGCTTCCTGCTGCAAACCAAAACACCCTCTCTGGAACTAACATGGAAGTGGAACCCCGCCTGGTTGGTAGAAAACAATGACGGTCAAGGGGTGATGTTCCCACTTCCATGTTTGTTCCAGGGAGTGTTATTGCCACGCATCTTCACTCAGATCCGTCGTACTGGTCATGACCTGGAGAAATATACCGTCGGACACGAAGAAGAAGGCCCTGGTTCTCTGCTTCAGTGCTGCAAGATCTTCTCATCTTTGGACAAGAAGAAGCGGACCGGAGCGGAGACTTCCAGAACATGCGGACCGTATTACACTTCAACAGACCTGTCTACATCTGATGCAAATGCAATGCTTGGGATCTGGGCATCTCCGTGCTATTCTTGTGGAAGATTACGGTAAAATAGAAGTTACAAGTTATAATAGAACCGAACTGTCCATCTGATTCATCTTTCGTGGGGTGAACACCCCATCCCTTCAAGTTAGACCTGCAGGTGATCGACTTTTCGGGAACGGAATCATTTCTCCTAGAAACCACACATCTATGGCCCGGCACTGGCACGAGGTTCTGACCACGGGAAAAGTGGTTGAATGACATCGGGCTCAGCGGTCAACTAAAAAAGGAACGTCTCTGGTCACCGGCATCTCCTGCTCATGATGGAGCTGTAAGGAACTGCTCTTTCCTTGATTGTCCTGGCAACGGGAAACCGCTGGCTGCAAACAGCATTTTTTTGAAATCTCCAAAAGGATTGGAGGAGGCTTCTTGGTAGCTTGAACTAACTAGCAGGGCAAAGGTTCAAGAATCAATAATCAAACTTTGAGTGGATGAGATCATGGTGAATTCACTAGAAGCGTCTTAAAACCATCCAGCTCCGCACAAGGTCAGAGCAAACTGAAGTTCAGGTCCAGCCTCATGAAACGCTCGAGTGACTGGAGTGACCACAACTTGGCTGCTTCTTGAACCGAGTAAAACATAGAGCAGCCAACCTTCATCCCATGGGGATGGCCCCCCAGCTGTCTGTCTTGATCCCATCCGATCCACTGAACCCTTCGACGTCGCCCTTCAGGTTTCTTCGAACGTGCGAAAACGAACATCGACTGGTCGAACCACTGCGCTCTGTGTTCGCGCGCTCTACTGCGCGCGCCCAGTCGGATCGTTGATCAATCAATTATTTGAAAGACTAGTCGGATCGTCTCTACCATCAAAACATCAACCATCCGCGCCAGGCGCCAGGCGCGCCCCATCTCCCCAACCATTCAAGCGCTGCTTAGCACCGGCCGCCCCTGCCTCGAACTTGACGGCTACCTGAAGATCTTTGTTCCTATTCCTCAGCGTTGAACTTGACATTGGCAGGCCCCCCTGTTCCAGAGATGTTCAGTACCTGGAGTGTGATGATTCTCACTCACATTCCTCAGCGAACTTGACGGATCTGATCAGAGCTTCTGCGATTGTTATTCTCCAGTGAGGTCACAGGCTCATTGTTTCGCAGGACATAATAATATCCAGGACCTTCAAAGTGACCTCTTTGGAGTCTCTAAGTGACCTCTTTAGGGACTAAGTGACCTCATTCTAGGATCTCAAGTTAGGTCACTTTGAAGGTCCTGGATATAATCATACTAATAGACTAATAGATGTTAGTTTCACCTGGTGATTGCTTCACCCCTTCTTCTCCTTCGCTTCGTACCCGAGTCTCCTTTGCGTTCCATTTCACGCATCACTGACGGATCGACACAGGCGACGGATGTAGCGTCGACGGATCGGCGACCGGTGGGTTGCAACTTAAGGAAGGAATATGTGATGAAGCTCAGTGGAATCAATCACTCTCAAGTTACAGGTTGAACAGGTAACAGAAACCACGAGAACCCATATACCCAAATCCGCCCAAATCCATTCTAGGCCCTCCGGCCAGCCACGCCAGACTTGCCCAAAGCAACCGGCGCCCAACATCTTCTCCACCGTGTAATCGCCTCAGGTCCCCAGACTCGCCGGCGGTGGCGGAGTTCAAACGGCGTTCTTACTCTGGGGTGTTACCGGTGCAAGCACCGGGTCCAGGCGGACTTAGAGGAAGATGATGCTTTTGGAGCAAGTCATATGTCTGCCATGATCATTATCGAGTGGTGCAAGGGTGGTGCATAAGCTGTACATCAGCGGCATAGTACCAATGGTATGCAAGTGCAGTGCATGTGGGCTGACACCTAACCAGGGCTTTTACCATTTTGTAGGGTTAAGCAAAGGCTAGCTGTGAATCCAAAAGCAAAAAGAGGTAAAAGTGTATGGCATTGTCAATACTTCCACACTGTTCTGCAGCCATCTCCACAAACATCAAAGATCTACAAACTCAAAAGAAGCAAACCATGAGGCCTTTGATCTATATATTTGGTCTCTCAACTGAATCAATCCACATGAAGTGGCATCCTTGACTGTTACATGCAAACAAAAAAGATTCACCCATGTTCCCTGACTTTGTGTCACGTGTCACTTGTGCTACTTGGGTCCATTTGGGGCTCAAAACATGCCAACATCGCAGATCTGGACTCGCGATAGGCTCGGTCATTGGTGGAATGAGACCGGTCAAAAGACCTGTCGACTTCTACCAAGTTCCTCGTTCTGTGATTCCCTCTGAGAGGGGCTGCGGAAGGTCACTTTTGATCTCAACAAGTCTGCTTCGTGCTTTGGTCCCAAACATATCAGGCTTGGTGGGTTCAATCATCCCAAGTTAAAGGTTGACAATAAGAACATCCGAAGACATCACCTAGAAGTTCTTAGATCCAACTGAGCTCACTTTGAAGAATCTGAGGCCTGGAACCGTCTGTGTCTTCACGCTTTTCAGACCCCTTTCGCTCCTGGGCAGAGCCTTACCCGCGCGCTACTCCGCCACCAGCCACTCCGTGCGACATCTGGGTCGCCCGGCCATTTGCGATACTGGATGGAGGCTTTGGCAAAGACATGCTTCCGCAGCAGGGCAGGGCCCGGCCCCCCCCCTTGATCTACCAGGCCAGAGCACCGACGAACGGACGCGTGCATCGGACGGTCTGGTCGAAACCGTTCGCACCGGGTGTTGCCACAGGCATGTGTCTCAGCGTTCATCGGTTCGTATTGCGGCCCTTGCAAAGGTTCAGGAAGGATTGTATCCCCGAAGGTGCAAGTGCTGAACAGGGCAAGTGCTGTAAAGAGGTGTACTGAACGCGCACATCTTTAGAGAAGAACCCTCAAGTTCCCTGCATGGGACTGAAAAGAGGGCTCCTGAAAGTGGGGTTTCGCGCGTTTTCTGAAAAATCATGACTTCTCGGCGAGAATCTTGCGTGTTTTGACACCTTTGATTCTCTATAGTGCCTAGCAGGCTCATGAGTGGACAGTGTTTAGTGAGTAGTTAATGAGCAACCACACTGCGAGTAACCCATAAGTAGATGCTGAGGCCCGAGAAAAGCACATGGGACATGTTTGCTTTATAGTACTGAAAATGGTCTGCTGGATACACCCACAAGGGTGTATCACACAAGGTACGTTTATCCATGAAGAAGAATGAGGACTAGTGACGAATGTTTGCCCAGAAAGGAGTCCAAATGCGGAAACAGAATGGCAACTTACAAAGCCAACAGGTCGGTTTGACCTCTGGGCTACCGATGTTGGTCAGATGAAACAACTACAAACAACATGACTCAATGAGGTGCTCGGTACCAAACTGGAGCCGAGTCAGACTGGACCGGAAGGGAAAGACTTACTCGAAAGAACCGACTCGTACTGTGCCGAGTCCGACTGAGTCCGTCTGAGTCCGCGGAAATCTCTTTGACTGAGCCGAACACAAATACTGTACATCTTTGTGAATCGATCATCTTCAGCTCTGAAAACGCTTTGGCTCTGAGAAATCCCCTGGTGTCATCCGCCACTTTGGCTAAGCCAACGAGCAGCCAACCAGCATGATGCCCACATGTTCCGCATGAAACCGCCCGACCTTGCTTCCTCCACTGCTCAACTCTAGACCTTGGCAACTCTACCGCACTTTCCTGTGATTGTTTAGGGGTTTCCCAATCGCCTCAATTCAGATGACCTGCAGGTGATCCACTTCAGAATTGACCAACCGCACCGCGAACCGAAGCGCCGCCGCTGCCGCACCGCGGAACCGCGCGGGTCACGCACCTGGGCCAATCCGAAGGCACTCGCGGAGGGCACCGGCACCGCCAGCGCAGGCCTCCGGCTGTTGGCTTTGGACGCTACGAACGATGAGCTACGAAGATTGCACTCCAAAGCGACCTGGAGGGCCAGGAGGGTGAGACGACTGGGGTGAATGGCAGGTCTAGAAACCGACACTCCCTGGAATCATGGAGTAGAGCGCAGTGGAGTTCATGTCTGGAAGTAGAGCAAGAGCAACATGGCAAACCCTGCTGCCATCCACCTAACCATGCGATGTGTTCCATCTGATGTGCACAACCATTCGACATCTTCACCTGAAAACATAGCTGGAAACCTGCTTGTCCCCATGCACAGCTGGAAACCCGGTTTTGGGGGGCGATTTCTTCGGTGCGTCATATTTCGCGAGCTGAAGCAATCATGTTCGCCAGCGCCGTCAGACCTGGTGAGCCTAGAACTAGTAATCGATCTGGAAGACCCACAAAACATCCAAAGTTGAGGAATTGCGCTGTTAGGAACAAGAAGCTATGAACGGGGCGTTCGGTGGAATTGCGCTTTTTCCTTGTTGTTCTATTCGCTCTCCAGTTGGTCCACCATAGAGTCAGAGTCCAGCCTATGATACGGTGGGTAGTGGTACTGGGTCCTGCTCCCACAAACCACCTAATTAGGCACTCATGAGATACTTGCGCCTCGATCCACACCTCTTTGGAGTTTCGGACTTCCATTGAGCGCTGGCTGAAGCAAACGAGGCCTTTGGAACCTTACATAAAAGGTTTTGCTCATTGATCAGAACCGTGCTTGGACGCTCAGAGAACTATTCATCCTCATCCAATCTTTGTTTGTCCCGAGGTGTCGCGCCGTTTGTTTTCATTTTCCCCGGCCCATTTTGTTGGTGTTGGTTTCGTGGGACATGTGTTTCTAGCAAATCAGGGAACGCGCAGCTGCACCAGCTGTTTGAAAATGGACAACTGTGGGGAATCGGCGGTCCTGGCACGCCGCATCACTTCCAGTTCAACCGCTTGGATGACCTTTATACCAGCTTAAAATTTTAGTAAGCGCACTCACGGCGCTTTGCGTTGGTTTCGGGTGGCAATTTTCCTATTGGGTTGGCCAACCTGAAAGGAAATTTGCTAGTTCCAAGCTGGCTGGTTGCAAGACCCTGAAGCTTTGATTGAGGCATTGCGCGCGCCAGCATTGCTCCGAAGTTTTGGCGCCGATTGGGATACACTGAGAGACGGGATGGCGATGTTGTTTTGAGGATGCTTGTCGGCGGTCGGTTTAGCGCAAGTGGAAGACTTTAGACACAAACATGAGCCTCGAACCAGCCATCCTGAAGCCTCAATTCAGGACACATTGTGCCTGGGCCCACCAAGACAGGTTGAGAGGCCACAAAGGGCGTGCATAAGCTTTCTTATGCGCGCCCTTTGTGGCCTCTCACCCTTTGTTGGCATGTTCAACAAGTGGCCCGAGAAACCCGTTAGGCAGAAAACACGCTCAAGGTTTCTCAAGTTTTACTTTCAACATAGGATTTAGGGGCATTTCCCCAGTTTTGTTCTTATGGCCTGGGAAGGGGTTGCCTGTCGTGTCCTTTGGATACGTTTTGCAAGTTTGTGTTTCCAAGTTCTGGCAACCATCTAAGTTCAGACCAAAGGGGGGCATGGGGGAGGCAAAGGAATTCTATAGAGAGAGTGGCCTAGGATGAAGCAGGACGGGGAGTACATGCCAGAGGCGATTCTCCATTTACCGCAAGGTGCAATTGCAGATTGTCATGGAAATGGTCCCTTCAGGTTCTCGAGCTTTGCAGCAGTGTGTTTTCCAATTGTTTTGCTTTTGGTTTTGTACCTTCTGGGCAGCTCCTTGGACTTGAGTCCTAAACACCCAAAAGGGTTTTGTCATCTGTAGGGTTTTTATGGGTTTTTGATGTTTTTGGAACGACCAAGTGGATCCCGATCGAGCTCGTAGAGATGACGTGGCCAATCAAGCCTTGCCGAGTCCAGGCTGAGACATTTTGCGGCGATGCGTCACTAGACTTGATGTTCAAGTCTTTGGAAGTTTCAGCTTCACCCCACAAACTATAGTTTGGGGAAGGGACCGTACTGCGTGCGTATGTCCGTTTTTGCATGGGGGCGGCAGTTCTTTTGTCGGGCGCCGGTTGTCCTGAGCCTGGGATCTATTTTCCACATCGAGCGCATGGGGTTGCTAGTCACGAAAAAAGGCTGGTCTATGTCTTCATGGCAGTGCCCCGCCTGAAGAGTGCAAAGGGACGCATTCTTCAGGCGGCGGCCCCCGACGGCCCCCGACAGTAGCCTCAGATCAACGTCTTATTCTTGAGCTCCTTGCCCGAATGATCTCCGTGACAGCTCAGGTGAGCCGCACGGAGATTGATGTTGGGAAACTGCTCAGCCATCACGTGGAAGGAATGTGCCACTACCTCGGACGTCCATGAAGAGTCGTGAGCCACGTGCTGCTCTGAGATGAACATCAATACGGCGTAGCCACGCAAGATGGCACGCGTGACACCCAATGTAGGGCGTATAAACTGTCCATATTCTTTTGCCTGCATGGCCAATGATCTGGGGTAGGCGAATTGAGTGTGGTCAATGCTGTCCACGGTGATCACCACCTGAAGAGGCTCCATCCGGACATTCGCCCGTGTAGCTCTCAGCCCGGACCTTCCAGTATTGGACTCGATCGCAATACTGCTTGTGAAGGTGTTGCCTGTAGAGCTGAAGTTGAGCCAGCCGCGCTTGTGTACGTTCCGCTTCAGTCTCTTGAGTATGAGCGGCACTTGCCGAATGCACTGGGTCCTGCAATTACCATGAGCGAGGTCTAATGAACAGGACATCTCGAAAAATTTCCCAAACCTGGGCTGCGGGTAGGGGCTATTATATAATGGGTTGAATCGCTTTCAGGCTAGGCTACTAGTCGCTCCTCAGTTTCACTTGCCATGCCATGGCAAGCAAAATGCGCCCGCCAACAAAACTCAACAAATATTGCCAGGACTCTGCGGCCGATGGAATGCAATGCTTGGGGTACTCGCTTCTGCATATTTCCAAATAATCCAACATATGGTTCCTGGTGGTCAAAACTTGGCAGCAACATCGTGCCTTCTGCTTTGCATTGCTTTTGCCATCATGACTTGTAGAAGTGGCGCGGCCTTTTTCCACGCATACGACCTACGAACCATGTTCTTCAGTCCCTGCGCCACAGTTTCTGGCCCTGCTGACACGGCCTGTGGGAAAGGCTCTGCCATTTTGTGCTACAAAGTCTGCAGGAATTCCACAACACTCGCTCGATCATCTTTTGGAAACATGGAATACGCTCGGGGCACGAACCGCTGGTCAACAGGGCGCAAATGCTTCGTTGTTGAGAATGGCATTCCGCAAACGCTGCATACGCCGCTTCCCAAGCCCCAGAAGCATGCGAAAGGACCTCTGGCACACTTTGTGCCCAATAATTTTCGACACACATCTCTCTTGCTTGCCCTGCGCTTTCAGCTGGCTAAGGACCTTAGGATTTAACGCCCACTGTGGCATTAACCCACTCCTTTACCAAGAAAAAACACTTAACATCATCATCTCCCGACAACCTGTTGAAAACAAGTTCTCAATTGCTCAACATAACCCCTTAGGATTTGCGCTAAGACTCTTCCCGGTCTGGGGGAAATTCACCTGAAACCGTTGAACAGGGTCACAAGAACACCACTGAGTTCCGTCACGAGAAGGTGACAAACCGTTATGGTTTGGGCAACATGAAACAAAGCCCCAATAAATTCCACGCGAAGCTGAGACTCTACTATGGAACAAAAATCATGAAAAAATAGTTCCTGAAACTAAACAGAAGTTATGTCTGCGCTCTAGGCGTCAAACCAAAATTCCATGCTAACTTCAAGATTGTACATCAACCCATTCATTGTCCGGGCCCTTGTCTGAGATGTTTCT